GGTGTGTTTTTGTTTTGTTTTGGTAGTTTTTTTTCCTTTTAATATATTTTATTGATTTTTTACAGAGAGGAAGGGAGAGGGATAGAGAGTTAGAAACATCGATCAGCTGCCTCCTGCACACTCCTCACTGCGGATGCCCGACACTGGGGGGGAGGGGAGAGGAAATATGAAAAAAAAAAATAGCCATAGAAGAAAGAAATTTTGTTGGAGAAAACGGTGTTTTTGTTTTGTTTTGGTAGTTTTTTTTCCTTTTAATATATTTTATTGATTTTTTACAGAGAGGAAGGGAGAGGGATAGAGAGTTAGAAACATCGATCAGCTGCCTCCTGCACACTCCTCACTGGGGATGTGCCCGAAACCAAGGTACATGCCCTTGACCAGAATCAAACCTGGGACCCTTGAGTCCGCAGGCTGACGCTCTATCCACTGAGCCAAACCAGCCAGGGCTGTTTCGGTAGCTTTAATACTGGAGGTTTTTGGTAAATTTTCACTTTACATACACTACTGATAATTATGTGGTTCTACATAGGTTCTGGAAGCAGAGAGTGTAGTGACTGGTGCAAGGGTAAGGCAGGTAAGATTTCAGAGGAAAGACACACCAGATGTGACACAGCATCATGGTCCTGAAGACCCTGAATTTTACAGGGTCGATCTTTCGACAGTAGGTTTCCTGGGCTCCTGTCATCTCCGCTTTACCACTTTTCACTCTCAATCATCTCAGCCTTCAGCTTTAATTAGATGGCAAGGGCCCTTATTTTGGAAAGGGGCTAGAGAAATGCAAATCTAACTTATTCAAAGCTCCCTGACAGCCACGCTTACAGATCTCTAGGCAAAGTATGCGTCTGGCCTTTTTCAACGAAGTATTTTCAGTAACAAGTTGTCAGTGAGGTCAGTGACTAGTGGCTCAGGATTAGATACCACCCACCCGGCTTGTAACCTCCCCTTTCTTTCTTATCCCGGGTGAATGCCGCTCAGCTAAAGTGACTGCCCCACTGCCACTGGCTCTCCACTTGTTGCTTTGCAACTCGGTGACTAACCAAGACGTCTTTTTGTTCCCCCCACAAAGCTCTTTTTGGATCATTTCCTAGAAGAGCCCAATTTTAAACACATCTACTTTATAGGAAGCGACGGAAAGGTAAGTGTCCAGTTTGCCAGGAGGAGAGCTGGACCTCAGTGCGTTCTTGGTTCTGCGTTGGATTGCTCTGCGTTAGTTAAAATGCGGGATTTCCTTCTGAATGAAAGGACGTCACATTCGTCTCGAAAACGGGGATGTTGTGAGTCGTTCTGGTGAGAAATGTAGGCTTTCACGCTAATTTTAAAGTTATAAATAACTTCCAAACCAGTGCCAGGGGAAGCTGGCGGCCAATGTCGTGCTTTGCATTCAGAGAGTTTCTGGCTATAAAAAGCCCGTTGCGATACCACGCAGGAGAAGGTAAGATGCGGCCTGGATGCTTCTGCTTTGCCATGGAGCTGGGGCAAAAGAACATGTGTGAAGGGGGTTTACTTTTAACCAAAAAAGCTTGTTCACAGCAGATGGGAGCCTTTCCAGATGACAGAGTGGCAAAAGCATGAGTGCTTGAATTTAACGTTTGTCTTCTATCTTTGTGTTATAATAGGCAGTAGTATCAGGAGGCTAAGGCATCTCGCAGAACTGTTCTACCACCATGTATAACCAAGTGAAAATCACAGTATGTAAGGCGAACGTGGGCTGGGATACACCATCAATAGAGAAGAGC